CCCTGTCACATGGTTATTAGCTGTTTGAGACATTTAAAATGTTTGTAGTGTTTCTGAGAAAGATATAAGAATTTTGTCTTAGGAAGTAACATAAAACAGCACGTCATTTTGCTACCAGCTGGCGTGATTTATTAACCACTTCTATGAGAATGAGGCTTCGCGATTGCTCTCCACAGTTTGGACTGTGGCCCGCGGATTCTGGAAATTGCTTCGCATTATCTTCCGCCTCTTGTTTCATTTTCTCCATTTCCTGCCATTGGAGTGTCCTTGGTTTTATTTTGCATGGCGTGGCTCGCGGAGTCATGAGAAGGTGGCGTCAGCTAGGGTTTTCCAGCGCCGCGCTAGCCGCTCCCGGCGCGGCGGCGGCCGCGGCCTGGCCAGCTCGACTCGTGAAGTAACCGCGTCCCCCTGCGCCCCGTCATGTTACAGGCAGCTGCACTGCGCCGTCATCCAGGGCTTCATTGAGGCCGTGTACGCCCTCATCCACGTCGCGCCCGAGCCCTTCGCGCTCGACATCCAGAACGACGACTGTCAGGTAAGCTGATTGACTTGATGCTGTGACACTAGACCCCCCACCCCCTTTTCCTCTGGACCCTTTGCTCCAGGGGGCGGTTTGTTGTAGGGCGAGTGAAATGGAAAGGTAAACAACACAGCCCGCGTCGGCGGGCAGTGTCACTAGACGCCCCCCCCCCTCCCTCACGCACCGCGTGCGCTTCTGGCTGCATTCCAAGTCCCAACGCGGGGAGCCAGCGCCTCCGCCGCCCTGTCTGACCCGCACCGCCGCCGCCTACCCGTTCGCTTCCTGCCCCCGCCCCGCCCATCCCCGGCGTCCTTGTGCGGCGGGAGCACCTGGGGCGTACCTCGCCGGCCGCGCCCTGGACCAGGGTCGCGTGGGGGGCGCGGCCCGGCGTCGGCGACGGCTCCTCACGCGCGTCTTTTGGCAGTGTTGCCGAACCCACTTGCCGCCGCTTGCTCATGTCCCGAAAGAAGGCGTGGATAAAACGGGTAGGAGAGGGGGGGGGGGAGGAGGTTTGCGATGCAGCGCGCGAGCTGATCTCCGGTGCAGGCATCGCGCCAGTTCGGTGATCGTTGTTTTCTCACATTTGCATCGCCTCCGGTCCGGACGCGTATGTATGAGCAGGCTCGCCGCGGCCGCTCCCCGAGCCCACACCGCCGCGCACTGTACAACCGCGCGACGGGCTTGGGCTGCTCGGCGCCGCCTGTACGCGACGCGCTGCTCGCGGACCCGCTCCTCACACACACATGGCGCTCCGCCTGTCGCCCGCGCGTCCGCGTACTTCCCGCCGCGCACCGGGTTCGCCCGTAATTTGGTGGGGCCGTGTTGAATTTGCCGGGAGGGCTGGGAAGCACGCGAGACTGGCTTTACACGGACATGCTGTACTTGTGGGCGAGGCCCAGCCCCGGGGAATTTTCTCGCTGCTGCTATGCTACCGGCAGTACAATCCCCATGGGCCGGCTGGGCTGGCCGCCAGCCGCGTGACACGGGGTTTCCACGCTGTTTGGCCGTTCGCTGGTCTTTCTCTTTCCGTCCAGTCTTTGGCTGCCTTCTCTCTTCCCTGTCCAACCCGGGCCGGGTGGCGCGCGGAAAGACGGCACTGAAAGAAATGATGGAATAAATAAGCAAGTTGGGGAGTTGCACAGAGAGCTCTTGTCAATGCGGCAGGTGTATCTATCTCCGCGCCAATGGCGCCGCGCTGGCGGCAGTGCATGCGCAGCACATTAGTGACTGGTGGCGCCATGGCGCCCGCGGGACACCCCGGGCCGCTCGGGGCTGTCTCGAGGTGGCCCCGAGCGGAGAGCCCCCCCGGGACCCATCGCAGGCTCGAGGTCGGAGACCTTGCAGCCCTAATAAAGCCCCTTGCTGATTGCGTTTGTTTTTTCTCTCTGTTTCTCGCAGACGGCGCTGCACCTGGCGGTGCTCACCGGACAGGCCGGCGTGGCGCGCCGCCTCCTCGTCGCCGGCGCCTCGCTGTCGCCGCGGGATCGGCACGGCAACACGGCCCTGCACATGGCCAGCGCCGAGGGCAACCTGGAGGTGCTCAAGGCCCTGCTGGAGCCCCTGCCCTCGCGGCCGCCGCGGCCGCTGGAGCTCGACCAACGCAACTACGACGGTAAGAGTTTGCCTCCTCTCCCTCTCACTCTTTCTATCTCTGCATAAGGGCCCCCGGCGGTGGGGCGGGGTCAGGGGCCTCGGGCGGCTGCGGCCCGGGGCCGGCCCAGCTCGGCACCAGCTCGGGGGCGACTAGCGACACCGTGAGCCGCCCGGCCCGGGCCCGGAGGTTTGGTATGTGTATGTACAGCGTAGGAAAAAACGCCTGCCGCGCCGCTCCGCTCAGCGGGACTTTCCAACTGTTAGCACGACGGGCCCGGGTCTGGCCCCGGGCGTTACACCGCCAAGCTTAGGTGTGTGCGTGTGTGAGAGCGTGTGTGAGTGTATGTGTGTGTGTGGTGGTGGCCCGCCGGTGTGCCCCACTTAATGTCCTGCTTCCTGCCCGGCGAGACAGACGTGATGGTGTTTGACCTGTGCCCCCCCGCCGCGCTTTGGTAATCCCCCCTGATCAGTCTCCAGAGGAAGGTTCCGGGCGGCGCTCTTTATGTTTATTACGCAGCAAGGATCGGGACGGACGTCGCTAAGTGATTTGCCCCCCCCCCTCTCCTCCCCCTTTTCTGCCCTCGAAAAAAAAGTCACAGACGCGAGGCCACGGCGCGCGGGCGTTAGCGGGTTTCCCGCGGCAGAGTTGTTATGCTGGGCCCTGTTTGGTGGGTTTCCTCCGCTGCCTCGCGGAATATGCGCGCGTCCGGCTGCGGGTGCACCTGCACCAGCGCTTGCTGGGCCGACGGCGCCCTTGTGGTACGCAGTACTCCGCCCGGCGGCGCCGGTCGAGTGTACATACCCGGGTGCTGCCGGCGTACATAAGTTATGTGGACGCTCGTCTTGTTGGACCAGGCCCGCCGGGTCCGGTCGGGTCGAGTCGCGTCGCCATTCGCGACTCGGGCGGGCGGTTCTGATGGGCGGTGGTCTGATGAGTGGCTTACGTAATGTTGTCCACACGTGCGGCGTCTGGTCCAAAACACTTGTCTGCGCGGCCGCCCCTCTCTCCATCTCTGTCTATCTCTCTCGCACGTGCGTGCGCCCTCCACGCCGCATCCTTTTTCCTTGCTGAGCAGAGATTTTCCTCTGCTGCGCGCGCGCCCGCTGGCTGCGCACACAATCATCCCCTTGTTCGGCTGAGCCAGCGCACCGTTACTTCTGCGAACGGCAGCGCAGCAGCGGGGCCTCGGCAGGGCCCCGGGGCCGGCCCGTCGGCCCGTGGACGCTCGCTCCGGCCTAAGCGCGGCCCTTTGAGTCGCCGCGGCCCGGGCCGGCGCGGGGCTGTGCCGCGGGGACGTTCTCCTCGGCTGATGGGAAGCGACCATGTCCGGATTAGGCGCTGCCCTTATACCTGCTGCCCTCCCCGGCCCAGCAGCTCACGTGCCATTTTCTTCTTCCCTTTTTGTGTGTGTAGAGTTTAAAGAAGAGAGGAGTGCCCCCCAACCCCTCCCATTGTTCTGCTGGGCTCAATGAGCGCTATGTGGAGCGCGTTCTCATTTCTCCACCGTATGGACTCGTCCAGAGAGGACGGAGGAGGACGCCCCGGCCGTCGCTTGGCCCCGCGCGGGGTCTTTCCCCGACCGCAGGGGATTCCCTCCGCCTCCGCCGACACCTCCCCGGCCGCCCCCTCCTCGCCGCCGTGCCCTAATTCTCGTCTTTTTTGTGCGGAGACCCCGGGCCCGGGGCGCGGGTCGCCCGCGGGCGCCGCGCAGGTAGGCAGCCTGGCGGGCCGGCGCGCACGGGCGCGTCGCGGGTGTGCCTATCTCCCGGGCGGCCCCGCCAGCCTGGCGCGCCAGAGCCAGCCGCCGTCCCGCGGCCCTCCCCTTGCTATTGTCACGTGGTTCACGGACGGCCTCTTGGCTCGGGCCGCGAGGCACGCGGCGAGCGATGTGCTGCGCAGGTGGGCCCCCGCGGCCCCCGCCACGCCCTCCCCGCCCTCCCCGCCCCGCCGCGCGCGTCCTCCCACCCCGGCCGCCCCTGCTATTTCTGTTAGTGTCCTGAAATGGAGCGACTGGCTGACGGCGCCGCCCCCTCCCGCGCCCCGGCCATCGATTTAGCCGCCCTGCCCCCTCCCGCGCCGCGCCCCCGAGGACCGGGGATTCCCCCCAGATTATTATTAACCCTCCCCCGTCCGCCCGGTGGAGTGGCGGGGAGGGCCGCGCCGGGCCGGGGGCAGCAGTCGTCCTTGCCCCCCGCGACGGTGTCCCCCACCTCCCCGGCGTGCCACCGTCGTTGGCGACGACAGAGAGACGTGTGTTTTGTTGTAATGGGCGTCTGGTGCATTTTTGGGAGGATCCAGGGGCCAGGCCAGTATCCAATAAATAGGCTCAGCTGTCGGTTTGCCGAAGAGCCTTTTCCGTCTGCGTCTTGGCGGTGGCCCGTCGGACTGGACGAGTACGCTCGTACCGTGACTCACGGATCGATGCCGGCCCGACCCGGCGCCGTGGTACACCTGGCGGCGGCCAGAGCGGGCGCCCCCTCACCTGCGCACGGCGCCGCGCGGCCGATGACGTCGCCAGCCCTCCCCTCACAACAACCCTCGGCTTAGCGGTGCCCCGGCCGAGGCCTATATGGCCGGCCGCCTCTATCGCCGGGGTGGGGCGGGACCATTGGTCCTCTATCTCCCCTTCGCTGTTATGACAGCTCATCTCGACACACTCGCGGTGTTGGCGTTGTTGTTTTATTTGCGGTGGGGAGGGGGGGGGGCGTTGACGTTAATGGAAGACCACACGAGATGATATCAACCCCATGACCGTTGGCGAATCTGCTCGCGGGGACCGGCGGCCGGGTTGCCGTTCCGCGCTCGCTCCGGCCAAGGGACATGACATTTTCCCATGACCCCCGCCTAGCGCTGCCCCCTTCTCCGAAGAAGGCGAGCGCGCCCGCCTCTCTCCCACCGCCGCGGCCGCGGCTCCGACCAACCTATGGGGGGCGCTCGCCGAGCAACCGTGACGTCAAGCGACCTGCGCCATCGACTGTGCGGGGCCGCTGCCTGCCGGGGCCCGGCCCGCGCCCCGCGAGGGGTACGGGGGCGGCCGCGCGGCGTAGTGAGCCCTGCCCACCTGTTGCAGCCGCGGCCCCAGCGGGGGAGGCCTCCTCTTCCTCCTGGTGGCGGCCCGCTACGCCGCCGTCCTCCTCGGCCTCTGGTACCTCACGGGTACCTCGGCGTGCTCACTTTCGCTCTCCTCGTCCTCGAGGCCGTTGTCTCGTAACGGGCCCCGACGTTGCGGTGTGTCTTTGCGAGCGGGGCGGCCCGGCGCACGACTCTCGCGTCATTATCGCTCCTCGCATCGCTCAACCAGTCTCTCTCCCCCTCCTTTCCTCTCCGCCCGCCCCGCTCGCCGTTGCCGCGGAGGAATCAGTTGTGTGGAATGCCGAATTTACTCTACGAGCTTTCGCGCATTCGCGTGAAGCCGTGCTTGGCGCGTGTCACCTGCGTGACGGGGGGG